AAGTTAGTTAAGTAAGTAAGTAAGTAAGTAAGTAAGTAAGTTAAGTAAGTAAGTAAGTAAGTAAGTAAGTAAGCAAGTAAGCAAGTAAGCAAGTAAGCAAGTAAGCAAGTAAGCAAGTAAGCAAGTAAGTAAGTAAGTAAGTAAGTAAGTAAGTAAGTAAGTAAGTAAGTAAGCAAGCAAGTAAGCAAGTAAGCAAGTAAGCAAGCAAGCAAGCAAGCAAGCAAGTAAGGCAGTAACCTAGCTAGTCATTAAGGCAGTAACCTAGCAAGTAAGTACAGGATTAACGGATAAGAAACAAATTCTGGGCCACGCAGCCAGAAGTTCACCTGCGAGGCGAACTTGGCAGCACGCGGCCGTCCAGCACCCAACTCGTTGCTGACGCGGGTGTTCCTAGGCCCGGGGATAGAGATTCAGACTGCTGGCATTTGAGAATCTCTGGTCGAGTCCTTTTCGGAGCTTTGATCCGTACCAGAAGCGAGTGGTTCTGCGCGGCCAAAATCTTCCACTCAGACAAGGATTCGAAACTTTGAGCAGCCGTCGCTGGGGTGCGAGGGCGTTGCCCTCAAAAGGATCGAGCTTGTCGGGACTCGGTCGGCAGAGCGAGGGTAGCGTTGGTGAACGATGCGGTTAACTCACTGCCTCCGAGGGAAGCTCTGCAGCCGAGGCCCTCAAAACACCTTGAAAGCCAAACACTGCCCACTGCCAAACAATTCATAATAAGTCATAATCATCATAGTCATGATAACCATAAGCATAATAATCACAATAACAAATAAGCGTAATGATGATTATAATAGCAATAACAATCACGGTAATACAAATCAATAGTACTCATAACAGGAACAAAGCATACAAAGTAAACAAAAAAACTCATGAGCGTCACTGTCCACTCTGTTGACCCCTTAGCCTGAACAAAAAATCTTCCCTAAGCCCCCTAGCATCTCGGTCCAATACAAAGACTTACTGATACAGCAAGATCGTATATAGTGTTCCGAGAATATGCGAGTGGTATAGACAAAGTGCATTGGCCTAAGAAGATGGCAAAAGCAGTGTAGTCACAGTTTTGCCGAGTTTCGCTGCCATGCCCCAGCTCAAGGGTGGCATAAAACCTTTGGAGTTGTGCGGCATGCTGCGGTACACTATGACGTGTGGTGGATAGGAGTGCTTAAAAGATGAGAACAGGGATGGTGGCCTACGAGAATGAAAGCAGCATGAGAAAGGACAGAATTTCCCAGATTGCTGTCGACTAGGCAAGACGACGGGCCGTTGCGTGCTGGAGGGCTAGGGTGACGCCTTCGGTTCGTACTGGAAGGGCTTTCTGGGTTTAGGGTGTGTGTGTGTGGCAGGGTTCAAGACCAAGTACAACTTCAGCATGCACAGCCATACTAGCCAGGGCCTAACCTAGGCACATAAAGAGTTCTGAGTTCTGTTTGCGCAGATTGGGAGTGTAACGGCCTGGCCTGCCAGGAAGAACGAGGCGGGAAGTAGCCGGAATGTCTGGATTTGACGAGCGCTCGGCCGAATTGGAAGGTTTTTTGCATGGTCGGCTGGTGACCCGGACGGGGCTGCCGGCGACAGGATGTGCTGGCTTCTCTAACTCACACGACGGCTTCGGCGTGGACTCGCGCGTCTAGGTCTGTCTACAACGCTCGAAAGATGATCCGAAGACCCCAAAGACAAGCTTAGTAAGCTTAGTCCTTGATCACTACAACCCACGATGACCAAAGTGTCAAGGCATGCAACAGATGGAGCAGGTGTTCGCGAAGACAGCCATCGCGGTCAGGCTCACCTGGTCTAGAAGGGACTTGAGCAGCGCTGGACACTCGCAGTACACTTCCGACAGAGTCCGTTCGCCAATCGCTTGTAAACATGCAGGCTAATCATAGGACAATCGCCAGCAGCCTAGTGCCCGGCACTGTCTCACTGTACCTTCAGAGCATCACCTTACACGGCCATCATCTGAATGAAGTGTGGCAAGTTACGACTGCCTTAGGCTATGCTATGACCACTCAAGTAACCCATCCCCATGCTGTGGAGCCCCCAGCACCACCTCTGCTTCGGGAAGCGTGCCGGACATCAGGACGATGATTTCAGAAGCCCACCACTCCTGGAAAGACTCTCCGCATTTGTCGGAGTGAAGGATCGACAAGAGGTGCTTGCAAAACAGAGGGTCATTTCCGGTCAGTTTTCACACCTGATACGCTAGTCACTACTCAACATTCCGAGAACATAATGTGTCCTCTGAGCTGCAGTATCCGCTTTACAACGCAGGCGGATCTCTCACTGGTGCGAGCCCCAAACATAATTCCAGAAAGGATCAAGAGGGACAAGAGGTTTTAAAAAACAGCTTTCTGGTGAAGACTCGGCCATGGCTCTGAGATCATCAGAAAGTTGGGCACTGCCAGCTTCAGAAAGGGGGACCACCGTGTGAAAGCCAATCTGGAGAAGCCTTGCCAAGATCTCGGCAGTTCGCTTCGAAGAGCTCGACAAGTTTTAAAGACCATCCATAAGGCGAGGATTGCGTTGCTTAGGGATGTCGCGACAGCTGCACCGATGAAGCCTAGCTTCCTCGATTGCGGAGAAGGCTTGGTCCAGTCCAAAGCATAAGGCATCAGGAAAAGGAGAGACGAACTGAAAACATAAATTGCTTTTCTGCGCCCAAGCTGCAGAGGGTGGACAAGGGTCCAGCAGAGGGGCAGATAAACTGCGGCCAAGATAAGACCTCCAGTTGCTTGGACGCCCGTCATGCGCTGGGCTGCCAGCCAGTTCTGAGAGCACTGCGTGACGAGGTAGCAGCACACCCCCGGGAGCAGATACTTCAGATATCTCGCAGCAAGAGCAGCCACGGCTTTCTCTTGTCCCACAGCCAGAAGCAGTGGTTCACTGCTCAGCCAAAGTGCTGCGATCAGGCCCAGCATGACGAGGCAAAGCAGGGTACATCGCTGCAGACTTAAAGAAACCTCTTCGAAATTTCGGGCTCCAAAAGCTTGCCCAGTTGTGGTCTGCAGCGTGGTCGCGATCCCCACCAAAATGCCTGAGTTCCCCAACATCTGAAGTTTGAGGGATCTACATGAATCTACATGCAAATACCACCGAATATCAATCCAGGCTGACTTGTTTAAAGAACCTGACTGGCGTTCGCTCGCAGCACTCGACCCTCAAAGCTGAGGGTCGAGATTGATATTCTGTTCTGTTCCGAAACGACCCGAAAACACTCACAACCCGAAACCCTGGACCTCAAGCCCTTGACCCCTCTTCTACGGCTAAGCCGCTACGCCCTAAAAACCACCCTTGAATTAGACCGGTTTCTGTAGCCCGAGACGTTTGCCAGGCTGACCGCGAGCCCTACAGCTGCCAGCTCCTTCTCACCCAAGTGACCCACCTGTGGCGATTCAGGGTTTAGGGGTTTAGGGTTTACAGGCTTGGGGTTTAGGGGTTTAGGGTTTAGGGGGTTTGGGGTTCGGGTGATTCGTATGAAGTTTAGGGTTTGGGTACTGAGCTGTCGGGTTGTTGGACGGCTCATGCAGGTTCTTTAGTCTTCAGCAGGCTTGTCACGTCCCGCAGTCTTCTTACTACTCTACTAGCTCTAGCGAGAACTCTGCGAACATCTGCTCAAAGCCTTCAATTCAGGCCCTTGCATAGTCTGTGGATTAAGTTGTGCCTTCTTCCAGACATTCAACTGCAGCCAGGCGGCAATCACCGTGGAGGTCGTGGCCATGAACCGGTTGGCCAAGAGGCCGAGGCAGATGGGCGCCGATAAGCGCAATTGATCCAGCACCTCCTGCGCCAGGGTTTGCGACTCCTGGGTTAGGGCTTAGAGCTTGGGGTTACGATTGTGGGGCTACTTGGGATAGTGAGGGCTGGACCTTGTAAGCGGGGGACCGTATACCCACAAAGCCGGGCATGAGAAATTACTGGGCCTGGCGGACGCTCCGCCGGGCGTCTGGCTCTCTGCCCTCATCTTCCTTCCGGTCGCAGCTTGGAAGCCAGTGCTTGCGGGCTTGGGGTCTGATCTGTGGGCGAGCACCTAGACCTCCGAAAGCTTGCAGCCTTCGAAGCCATCAAAGCTGAACCCCGAACCTCAACCCCCCGATGCAAAGGCTCGATCTGCTCGATCATACAAGTAACTGATCTTGACTCCAACCTCTGCATCCAAGGACGGTGGCATCCCTGCTCGTGCCGACTAGGCAATTGCTCGAGCCCATGTCCGATGAAAGCGCAGAAACGAGGTTGCGACTGTGGCGTTGTAGATTACAGGCTTGGACGTTTCGCGATGAGGCTTCGGGCAACGCGCTCAACAGGCATTACAATCATTACAAAGGCCTGCTAAGCCCTGATTCTGTCGGCCCAATCTCGCGTAGGCTCAGCGAACCGCACACTTCCCACACAACAGATTTAAAACAAAAGAACATATCGATCAGAGCATCCCTTTGGCGCAAAAGGTCCCTCGGTCCGTCTCAGTTCGACACTTGCTTTGCCCTGTGCTCAACTCTCAGGTCGCTCCGAAACTTTAGGGCCTTTAGGGCTTCCTGAGTGGGGCTTGCGGCTTGGGGGCTTTCCAGGCTTTTCCAGGATCTCGCGATTCAGGAAGCCTAGTTCAAGCGTTTGGGGTTGCTCTACCTAGGCCGGTATACATGGCACTCTAACTACCACAACCGAGTTCACACAAAGAGCTGTCGTCTTCCGGCAAAGGTCAGACCCGGCAACTTGCAAACGGAGGCACGAGGACATGAATCCGGAGATCTGAACTTCCATGGCCTTACGTACAAAGTGGGGGGTGAAGGTCTGGTCCGAACACAGGGACGAAATCCGAGAACCCCAAACCGATTTAAACCGTGCATCATGTCCTTCGGAGCCCCGCTGGTGGGGGCACACTAAACCATGCGCTGCCTCCGGGATTGGAGGTGTCGCAAATCGAACACCTTCCGTCCGCGTCGCGGCATTGCAGCAATGCGAATTGCTCGAAGCTTAGCTGGTGGCCACACACCCGGTGAAGAACACCAGGACTCTCCCCGTGTGCACACCCAAATCATCTTGACAAATCCAGTGGCCACCCGTCATCCTCCTGCCTTAGCCTGCAGGCTACGACATGGTGTAAAAAGTCTCTATAATAAGCAGTTAAATGCTCTAATTTGCCCTCCAGGCGCAGTCTCCGGAAACGTCAGTCTCCGTAGCACTGCCCCTGCAGGTGCTGGAACAGCTGTCCTCTGTGGACACAACCTTGAAACTCAAACGTCCAAGCAGAAAAATGCAGGTCTGTGGCATGGCCCAGCTTCTTCAGGCAGTCTCAGATCAGGTGTTGAGCCATGGTGAGACTCTTGAACAGTACATCGGAAGTCCTGTACTATACTCTCCTGCAGGCACCTGAGCCTCGAGTCCCTGCGGGAAGAACTGGGAACAGACATAATGCGCGACGGCGCGGAGGGCGCAGGTTGGCATGGCCCCCTCTTTTAAGAAAGTTCTCTATGCCTGGAACAGCCGAAGCTCTCAGTGCGAGACCTGGGCGGTGCATAGATGACATCACTGCAACCCTTTGGAGGTTTCAGGAAGTTCTTCGTTGTACAGGCCAGCTCTACCACTCCAGAAACACAGACCCCGCACGCAACGCCCCCCAAATGGCACCTTCGAGCCGGACGCTCTCGCAGACTCTCGCAGAAACTCCTATTCGGTTACTGATACCACTACCTGAGGCCTATTTCCAAAAACTGAGATGCCGACTCATCGCAAAAGAAGCGGCTTTGCTTGTGCTCGCTCCCTGGCTGCCCTCGACATTAGCACCCAATTCGTGGTCCACAGAATGACCTGAGGTCAAGCGGCGTGACCCCTCAGCTCTTGTAGAAAAAAGGGCACGCGCAACGCAGCTGAAGCAGCAACAACCGCAGCCAAACCTCCCTCCGAGTGTAGAGACTTGTTGGGTGCAGAAGCACAGTTCAGTCATGCAGTGAGCTGCTCCTAACCTTCGGCTCTGCTATCCAGCCGATAGCGACCTCAAGGTGATGCAGCTTGCTTCCTTTCCAAGATGATCTTTAAGTGAAGGGTCTCTCACCACCGCAGATGAACCTGGCACACAAACAGAGACTTACGATCTCCGAACCGTCCTTGAAGTCTCCAACTCTGGGTTGGCCTCGCAGATCTCTCATTACCTATCGCATAAAGCAGGACCTGCCGTCTGAGTACCGTGCCGAGACGGCCACGCAGTGAGCAAAGGTCCCAACAGAGGATCCAAGGGCTAAGCCCTTGGCACTCATGCGGCCTCGCGCGGACGCAAGCTGCAGCACCCAGGGAATAGGCAAGGATAACTTATAGAACTGATGATGATCAGGATGATGACGGTGGTGATGATGATGATGATGCTGATGAAGATGATGATAATGACGATGACGATGACGATGAACTATCGCCACTGCAAAACTTGCAGGATAGTGGTAGAATTAGCTATCAGATCCCTTCAGAATCTTGGAGCAACATGCAGGGGTGGTGACATTAGTAATTAAGGGATGGATCCCCTCGCCCTCTGCTAGAATCGAGGAGCACAGTGATGCAAGGGTTGCGAATCTTTCCTTGGCCCACCTGGCCACGCAAAGAGCCAAGCAGAGGGTATGCCGATGAGGAAGTATGAAGCCAGGACCTGCTGTCGAAGGCTTGGGATGGAAAGTGAAAGGATGTCGAAGGGATTCAAAAACATCTTGAGGTCTTGATCCATCTCATCACCTAGACCTGATTTGGGGAGATGGTTGATCACGAGGACAGTCGGACCACTGTGGCAGGACGACCATCCTGTTCAATCGAGGCACCACCGGCGCCAGCAGCAGCTGACCTTGAATGCATCAATGGCGTGGGAGACATGGGGCTTTTCTGGCACAGGGAGGGATGCCACGACATGCTGCCGTGATATCTGGAATCCCCATAGTTCTGCGACTCACATTGCGCATGTCACATCCACGCGAGTACCACGATAACATGAGTTCCATTCCAACGCGAGATCATCCTGCTTCCGTCCAGCACCGGGAAGCCAGACGAGCAAAGGGGGCTCTTATATCTTCTTGTGTGTCAAAATTGGCTGCGATGTTTTCCCGCTTGCTCTGCTGTCAGGCAAAGAACAAACGCATGTGCAAGGCCTGGAAGAATGCGGGTGCACGCAACCCCCAACTTCCTGCTATCACAGATTTTGTCGCAGTCTTCTGGAAGGACGAGTGTGTGTTTGTACGCTATGACAGATTCTGTCGCAGTTTTCTGGAAGGACGAGTGTGTGTTTGTACGCTGCGTCTTTGTTGGGCTGGTTGCCCTCGCCCTTGCGTCTGTACCTTGCGTTGCCTTCCCAAACCTGCAAAATCCGTGAAAAGAAAGCCAAACCCAGTCCTGGGTGCCCGGCGCCCACATCCCTTCAAAGCACCATTCGTCACCTGGGCTCGCATCAGATCCGCGGCAACAGATGCTCATGAACCTGAAGACTTCCGAAGCCATGCAGCCAGAGTGGCTGTGCACATGCAGTCCAGGGCCACATACAGCGGACAGATGACCAAAATGTGCTTGGTGTGGTCCTCGACCTTCCAGCAAACCCAAAGAAGCCGGGAATGCCCCTACCTATGATTTAGAGCAGACCCTATGTCTCGTTTTCGTCTACTCGTACGAAGACAGGAGCCTCCAAGCCAGCGAATCCTCAAAACTAGGTGCAGAAATCGACATGTACTCTAATGACATTTCCGGGCAAAGCCTTGCCATAGGAACCGGAACCAGTACCGTCTGGTGTTGCGCAGCTCCTATTTCCACAGACAGGGCGGTTTCCCGAAGCTGCCGGCCTCCCTCTCACAGGTGATGAAGTGAATCCACAGGCAGCGGCCCGCCAGTATCGCGGCAGAGAGCAGCGAGGCCAGGCAGAGTCCCAAACTTCGGACAGATGGATTGGAGACGCTCATTGTGCTGCTACTTTTTATGTGCATGCACATAAAAAGTAGCAGCACAAGATCTAGTGGCCCTATGTAGTTCGAGGAAGGTTTGGGGAGGCAGTGGCGTACAGTTGCACAGGAAACATCATGCAACCCTCGAGTCCTACCCAGAACCTCGAAACCCTGAAGCCCAAACTGCCCCTCAGTCTGCTATGTTTACGTCTTGCAGATCACCGCCAGCAACTGTTCACGGCTAGAGCAGAGAAGGAGACATGGCAGAGCACGGAATGATGCAATGTCATGATTTCTGACCACTGCCTGTAGTTGACTTTGGCTGCGAAGTGCGCTGCCCAGGGGCAGCCGGCACCCAGCTCATTGCTCACGCGGGTGTTCCTGAAGCATAACACTGGAGCTCTTGAACATGGAACTGTTTACGAACAGTTGGCGGGGTATTTCGTAGCAGCCCTCGACCTCGATATCCGACCGCTCTGAATCACTCTGAATGCCTCTTGCAAATCGTCAGCATCTGAAAGTGAAGCCTTGCTTCCGGCTTCCAGTCTGCTGCATGGTTGAAGCTGCTTGGCCCAGGGCATAGAGGTTTAGGAGCTTTGGGTTTGGGGGTTCAGGGGGTTTAGGATTTTTGGGTTTAGGAAGCAGGGCTGGCAAGCAAATCCAGACTGGCAGTGAAACGACTGAGACGTGGACCCTGCACATCCCAAGCTCAGGGGCGGCATCGATAGGATCCTTTGCTGTCCCGACAGAGCGTTGTTTGAAACCGAGGCTGTCGGCTTTGAGCTTTATCATAAATTTCGTCGGCCGGCTAAAGATGCCAGAGGTCTGGGGCACCAGCGTTGAGGTCTGGACGATTGCTCCAGTGATTGAGATGGAATCTCTATGAATCTCTGCATTCTCTGCTAAGGGCTTTGGCACCAAAGACTACCGGAGTAGGAAAGCAAACTACGAAAGCCAGCATTCGGAGCAGGAGCCTCAAGGCCCCGAGCCGCTTGGCGGGTTCCGAACACCACACCACTATAGTACGGTATCACAAGCCCTTGGAGGAACCCTTAGCCTTAGCTGCTGAGCCTTAAACTAGGCAACACCACATGAAATGACCAGCACGATAGCAGGGGTACTTTTTAAGGCAAAATGGCAATTTTGCCGAGGCAAACGATCAGTTCTTGTGGGAGGCAGCCTTGCGCAACCTCTACAGTTGTTGGATCATTCTTTCGTCATTGTTTCATCTTTGGAACTAGTGTTTTTGGTGGTGGTAGTAGTACTCATAATAATGCTAATGTTTAGTAGCGCTCGTATTAGTACTAGTGAAAATAGTAGTAGCAGCAGCAGCGAAAGTAGTCGTGATAGTTTTAGTCGCCGCAGCAGCAGCAGCAGCAGCAGCAGCAGCAGCAGCAGCAGAGCAATAGTAATAGTAATAATCGTCGCAGTAACCATGAAAAAAACTACAAAAATGGAAACAGTAATCGTAGTGGTAATGGTAATAATAAGAGTAAGAGTAACAGAAGCCGTAATTGTAATTATAACGGTACTGGTAATAGTGTTAAGGCAATAGAAATGGTAATCGTAATAGTCATAGTGATAGTAATAGTAAGAATAAGAGTAATGGTAATGGTAATACCAATAGTGATTGCAATAGTACGTATTATGCTACAGCATAAGTTTGGCAAAAAAATGCTTGTCTTTCGTGGCACCATCGCGGAACTCACGCGAAGGCATGCTTAGACTATGGAGATGCCTTTCATAAAAATTTAAAGTTATAGCACAAGGAGCTTTAGATCAATTACCAACTAGTAGCACTGCTGCTCGGTGAACGTCGTCAGACAGAACTAAACTAGGCCCACCAACGCCCCCCACCCCCACCCCAACACCCCAGAAGCAGACAAAGACAAGCAAAACAAAACAAGCATAACCCGAGGGTCAATTGGTAGTGCGTTAGGTTAAACTAATCTCTGGTATTCTGGAGTCGAGCCCGGCGGCGCGCAAGTGTTGGCAAAGATCGTCATGGCTGCCAAATTGGCTTCGGGGTCTGGCAGGGTCCCGGACAGCAGGACGATAATCTCCGTGGCCCAGCGCTTCTTAGCAGGATTGTGGAGTTCGTGGGGAAGTGGAGAGAAGTAGGTGGTCTAACGAGGAGTCTGCAAAGCTATGTCTGGGTGTTTTACCGCATGCAATCCCATGTCTCGAGTTGCATAATCGGGGTTGTTTCATCTGTTGGACGCTTTCACCTTCTGTCATCATTTCCTTTGCAATGCTATCAACTTCGCCAGTCTTAACGGCTTCCTTCACGGGTGCCTCTCGTTGCTGATCCCTCGCATGAGGACCGTAGTACTCTGGGACTGTGCAAGTTGCAGCCCGCGTCACATTCTCAAACCAGGCAAGAAGAGCATGTGCAAACCAAGGATCCGAGATGACAAAGAGGCTCGGCACTGCCAGGTGGAGGAAAGGGCACCAATCCGTGAATGCTCGGCGCGAGAGGCCCTGCCATGACATCCTTAGGGAAGAGCGGATGGCGATAAAGGTCTGACCAACCATCCACAGCATCAAGAACAGATGTCCCAGCGACGTCGCGATGGCAGCGCCCTTGGTTTCCATGTGAAGTGGCTGCACCAAGATCCAGCACAATGGCACGAAGCCGGTCAAGAGGATCAACCCGCCAGTCCCTTGTACAGTGGTTATGCGCTGCGCTGCCAGCCAGTTCTCCAGACATATCGTCACCATGTAACAACAGAGACCTGGGAAAAGATACAGTAGATAGCTCGCTGCGAGGTCTGCAACTGCCTCCTCCTGCCCTGTGGCTATGAGGAAAGACTTGCTGTTCAGCCACAGCACCCCAACGACAGCAAGGACGACGGTACACAATAACAGACATCTTTGAAGGCTTAAACACACCTCTTCGAAGTTCTTTGCGCCATAGGCTTGTCCAGCCGTTGTCTGCAGTGTGGATGAAAGCCCAACCAGCACCGTGTAGCCTGAGACGTTAGCCAAGCTGATGGCCAATCCAACGGCCGCCAATTGCCTCTCACCTAAATGTCCCACGATGATGGTTGCTGCAGTGGTGACCAAGCCTGAAAGAGGAAGCCCCTGCAGTTGTTCCCCCCAAGCCCTAAACCCCAAACCATGAACCCTGAAGCCTAAACCCCTAAACACTAAACCCAAAGCCTGAAGCCTAAACCCCTAAACCCTAAACCCAAAGCCTGAAGCCTAAACCCTAAACCCTAAAGCGGAACAGGAGGCGATTGGTCAGGAAGCCCACGCAGCACGGGGCCGCCAGACGAAGCTGCGTGAGCGCCTCCTGGGAGCGGGGGCGTCGCTCCTATTAACAATATTCATCAAAAGTACGCATACGGATCAGAAGAATAGTCTTAATATTAACAACAATAGTAATAACAACAACAATAATAATAACAACAATAGCAAATTTTAAGCTAAGCATACAGGCATAACAAGAATAAGAAGAAGGATGCTAATATTGCTGGTAGTAAAAGATTAACAATAGTCCAGTGCTCAGGCCAAACGGAAACGAGGAAGCACAGTCAGTGACCGTTGAGAAATCTTCGGCTTCTGCCGGCGTCCTGTGAGAAATTCCGATCGTCCAACTCATCGGCTTCCAGTGACTTCATGGCATCTATGTTACAAACACATGCATATGTTCGACCTAGGACCGTCCTGTCTTTCTGGCCTCTCCGCAATGCCCTTAGCATGCAACTTGCTGGCCTCGAAAGCTTCCAGCAATCGTCTTGAGCCCAAAGCTGAACAGCTGCGTTCGTTTGTGAGGCGACGGGAAACACGTCCCAATTCACATCTCTGCTCTGAATGCATCGCCTTCCTCCAGCCGACGTGCCGCTCCGAGAGCCCGGCAGCAGCCATGCCGGCGAGAGTTCAGATTTGCCCAGTGCCTGTGTTCAGCAGACAGGCTGCCGAAACAGGCTTACCCTAAAACCATCGGGCTTAGAGCCTGGAGGGCAGGTTGATGAGCTGTGCTTCAAGCTTGGACGACGCTCTTCGAGGCTTCGAGCTCCGATTTCGTTCGCGGGACTTTCGTGCCTGAAGCTTGTGGCGTCTAGGTGGGAAAGCTCGGTAGCTCCGGGCCTCTCCCTCTCTTGCACACAGGGCACTGTCGTGATTGTTGGGACATGCAGTGCGCCCCAATGTCTGTACTTACAGTCTTAGTGATGTTCTCGTGGCTGAAGCACACTGAGGCACTGGGATCTGGGAACTTCCCGTCTCTTGCACAACTCCTGGGCTTTCGCTTCTGCTTGAAGCTTGGGGATCGAAGCGTAGCCCGAAGCATCGCAGCAGATGCCCAGCCTTGTGGAAAGCACAGCCCGCTTCGGCATGGCTGAGCCACAATCCCTTCTCTGAGACCGCGGGTTGGGCTGTTGAGAGCTCTTCAGCCCTGAAGCCCCAAAGCCCTAAGCCCAAACGACTCGACTCGAGGTCCTAGACGAAGAAGTCGATGCTCAAAAACCCGAAGGATGGCCGCTGCCTCCTGCCTTAGCATGCCACCTTGGAGAATGCGTCGAGTATGACATATTCTGCTCTGATGTAGTGTGAGGAGCTATTGCGGCGCTCTCAATCTGAACCCAAAAGGGGCAAACAGGTGGATTTCTCGGCTTTGGTCTAAGGAACGAGACTTGACATACATGGTCGGCCACCAGAAGTGACAATGCTCTCCCACGGCTTCGAGTGCAAGCAGTGCCTCATTGCTTACAATTCAATCCTGACTCAGCTCTCCAGCTGCCAGATATCTGGCCCAGGATCCACAGAAACTCGTGGCACAGAGCTGCAAATGAGAAGTCCAAAATGTTGTGCCTAGACGGTGCAGAGGTTAAGGCTAGGCTAAGATGGCTCCAAATTGCAGTTTGTCGTGCCAGAGAGTGTTCGACGTTCGAGGCGTGGCCAAGGGGGTATGCACGAAACGTTACAATCCTAAACCACAGGCCAAAAAGAAGAGAAGGACATTTCGCACTTTCGGACGCCGTCCTGCAGCGCGTTTCCCGATGGCGATTCAGCTTCGGCTGCTTCGGCTTCGACCTTCGTGCCGGAAGTCCTACAGTCAACTGTCACCTTCCTGCAACAGCTGGGGTTCTGGCCATCACTGTTTGAAGGGACCAAGATACTTGACTATTTGCGTTTGTTCGCGATTCCTTTCAATTTCAAGCAACCTGAGCTGCCTGAATCACGAGAAGCCTGCGCAAGAGCCCCCAAGTGATCGTAAAGCAAGCACGGCTCAGGCGCCGGCTGCGCTCGCGGGACTTTTTCCTTCGAGGTCAGAGGGCTGCAGACAGCAGTAGTAAGTCATTCTTGGAGCCCGGGCTTCATCCACGACCAACGGCCACAGGATTGGAAATTCAGTGGTTGCAATCGATCCGCCCCAACATGCTTGAGAATATCAGATCTGCAAGAGATCCTACGTCCTGGGACCAGTTGGGTATTGAGAAATCAAATCACGACACTCAATGCAACGCTCAGACTACCAGGCCCGAGCGACGCTCTAGCGCCTCGACGACTCTGCGAATAAGCCCGAAACAACATACAGCTTGCACGGAACAGCTCAATCCAAACCTAAGCCCTCAGCAACAAGCTGGAAGATGAGCTGCTCTGAAACGAAAGCTCTGGAAGACCAGCTGTCCTGGCTCTTCGGCTGTCGCTGCGGCTCCTGACTTCAGAAGGTCACATGTGCGTGCCTAACTACAAATTTGGAACTGCAGCCCTAACGAAGGGCTTGGAGTACTTCTCGCATTGCAGCGCAAAGCAGCAGCGCAGCAGTGCAGTTTGTCCTCCTTCCTTCCTCTTCGAAGTCACTCTACACGATGCTGTAAGTATATCTCCAGACACAGAGAGAGGCAGGCAGACAGAGACAGAAAGACAGACACGCAGAGACAGAGAGGAAGCGAGTGAGACACGGACCGTGTGAAAGAGAGAAACAGACTGCATGGTCAAACGCTTGTACACACCCAGACAGGAACACAAACACCTCTTCTTCCCCACAAAACCGGCTAGAGAGCAGAGTTGTTAAATCGTTGGACCTCGCCGCTAACACCTAGCCATCAATTGCTTGGACTGGCTGCATGTGTGATATGCTACGGCGTGCTTTGTGGTGTCGTTTCGTGGTATGCTGCGCCGCAATTAGATGAGATGTGTTGTGCTGTGAGGTTCTTTCGTTATGCAAATGCTGGGTTACATGTTAGGCAATGCTGCGCTGAACTTTATGCTATACTGTGGGTCGAACAATGCTTCAATATCTGCGAGTCACCGTGGCTCACCACTATCTCAGTGCGGTACTTCACGTAGGTGAAGGAAGCTAGGTAATATCAAACTCACGTGCTCTGAGAGAACACAAGATCATGGGCTTTCTCGAGCATGATTCGCTTGACACTGCACGTAGGAGCGGCTCCCTGCATACTGCCTCTTTCGTTCTGCACCGCATGTCAAACAGCTACACCGAAAAACCGATTGCCGGGGCAAAGCATTCCGCTTCCTGTTCCGGCTCGCACTTCGACTGGAGCTCTTCTGCCTGTCTTGATAAATGCGCAACTGAGCTTTGGAGTTCACGGTTTCGGAATTCGGAAGCATTGCCTACTGTAGCACGACTTGGAATCTGTCGGGTTCATACCAGACGATAGATCATGGAACCATGGTGCCGGTCTTTGTCATATAGCCATGATCCACACGCAATCATAAGCTCAACAGGAAAGACAACGCCTCTATTGAGTGCAAGCCCCAGGCCCAGAGGGCTGCTGCAAGTCCACAAATTTCGACTCCAAGAGTACAGAAGAGTTGCGGATGAGTCTAATACAGCCAGCTACCATCAAAGGGCTGAACCTGAAACGGTGTAAATCTCGGGTTGGAAGCCAGGTCTTCCGTGGTCACATCGGCCAGTGCTCTTGCATCGAATTCACTCCTGATCCCTGGTTCTGAAACCCCGGAACTCTCCTGATACCCTGGCGGCCTCTTCCGCATGGGGGTAGGAGACCGGCGCCTTCAGCAATCGCTCGAAGACAAGTTTGGTGTCAAGTTATGACGGCTCCAATTCCAATAGCCTGCAAGACTTCAGCTCGGGATTGTGGGCAAAAACACAGGCGCTTACTAGGCGAAAGGGTTTCACATGATGTTGGCACTCATCAATCAAGCAAAGCTGGGGCTCCTCATGTCTGCTACAACTTGCAGGCAGCTACACACACGCACACAGAAGCGACGTAGTAATAATCCACCTCACTGCAGGTCACAAGCGACTCAATGCTTCGAAAGTCAGAACCGGCCTGCCCAAATCTTCCCGAGCCAAAACCTCCGATGAAGCCCTTGAGAAAGGCTTCCGACCCCGAAGCCCTGAACACTAAATCTTGAAACTGTAGCACCTTTGACACTAAACCACATCCAGAAGACCTCCGCCCTCAACGTAATCCTGAACCCTGACCCCTAAACCCTAAACCCTAGACTGGGCTTCCTGAGTAAAGTCAGGCATTACCTATAGTCTCCTAAAAGGTAACCCCAAAAGGAACTACAATGGAGACTCTAGGTAAGTAGCATGTCGGCATTGAACCCTGGTTCAGAAAAGGCCCGGGGGAGCCTGGGCCTGGAGCTTCGGCTGCGGCCTAGCTGAGCTCACCATAGCGTTTTTGGAGTTTTTGATAAGGCCAGGCCTAGTAGGTTCTCTGATGACTGCCTGTTCAACTTTAGGGTTTAGGGTTTAGGGTCTAGGGTTTAGGGTTTAGGGCGGTTGAAGGGTTCAGGGGTTCAGGATTGAGGGTTTGAGTAAACAGGGCTGGAGTGAAGAAATTGCAGAGTCCGCCAAGCAAGAACTTTTAAATCAAAGTCCTATGTAAATAAAACACTCAGTTTTGCAAGCCTGCAAAGGCCTAGCCCAGGCAAGGCAATCCCCCTGACTAATAATCCGGCCGCCGCAGAACACTTTGTTCTTGCTTCTGTTTGACTGTTGAGGGTTTAGGGTCGAGGGTTTAGGGTGAGGGTTTCCGCCTTAAGCCCCAACCTTAAACGATATAAGGTTTCGGCCCTAAAGCGTAAAGCACCTCAGCCCAGGAACTTAAAGTCTAAAACGAATCCGTGAAACCCTAACCTCGACCCTAAACCCTAACACCCTATTCTCAACCCTCAACCCTCAACCCCCCCCC